CTTTGTACGTTAGTGTTAGGAATTTGAATTTGATCCGTTGCGCAATCGGAAGCCAGTGGAGGGATTGGCAGAGGGGGGTGGCGGAAATGGAGCAGTTGGAAAGGTGAATGAGTCTGGCAGCCGTATTCAGGATCGACTGAAGCGGGGATAGCCAGCGGCGAGGCAGGCCAGTGAGGAGGGAGTTGCAGTAGTCGAGTCGTGATATGATGAGGGAGTGGATGAGCTGTTTAGTGGTTTCTGGGGTTAGGAACGTGCGGATTTTGGCGATGTTGCGGAGGTGGAGTCTGCACGAGTTTGTTAAAGATTGGACTTGGGGCTGGAAGGATAGGTTGGAGTCCAGAATGACACCAAGTACTCTGGCCTGCAGGGCGGGTTTGATGGTGGCGTTGTTGGATGTGATGGAGAAGTCAATGGGGGGTGGTGTCCGGGCTGGGGGGAAGACAAGAAACTCGGTTTTGGAGAGGTTCAGTTTAAGGAAGTGGAGCGACATCCAGTCTGATATGTCGCTCAGTAGGTGTGTGATTCGGGCAGAGACTGAGGGGGTGAGGTGGGGGGTTGAGAGATAGATTTGTGTGTTGTCGGCATAGAGGTGGTAGTTGAAGCCACATCTTTACTCTGCAACTTGTGGATTCCCAATATCCAACAGCACTGTTTTTGGGCATGGCACACCCAATCCTTGGATGTGTTGCTGAAACCTCTTGTAAGTCAACTGTGGATTCCTGCTATATAAGCTTGTCAGCTGGACACAAGTTGGTGTTTTCTCGGACACTAGCTAAGGTGAGCTACATACATTGATTTCAATTTTCCTGTTCACTTACTGATACTCTTAGAAGCGCTCTCCTTTTTTTTTTGTTCCTCTAAAGCAGGGGTGGCTAACCTGTGGCTCTCCAGCTGTTGTGGAACTACATTTCCCATGAGGCATTGCAAAGATGGGAAGTTACTGACTTGCAGAGGCATGATGGAACTTGTAGTCCTGCAGCAGCTGGAGAGCCGCAGGTTGGCCACCCCTGCTCTAAAGGTATAACAGCTTCTACTCTTCTGGGAAGGCTTTCCACAAGATCTCAGAGTGTGTCTGTGGGAATTTGTGCCAATTGAGCCAAAAGAACGTTTGTGAGGTACTGATGTTCAACTAGAAGACTTAGCTTAAAGTCACGCTGTAACAGCAAAAAAGCCACTAGTTTTGGAAGTGCACAATTGTCAAAAATAGAAATACATGAATTCAAAATTAGAGTGGTATCCATATAGTTTTGGCCAGATAATGGATGTGATGGCATAGTGTCCACCAACCTTTGATCATATAGTGTATGGAAGTCCTTTTTTATTCCTTGTAAGTTGGACACAGCAAGGAGAATAAAAGAATAAAATGGCTGAGACTGGAAAACTAGGATCTGTTCTTACTGCTGCTGTTTCCAGATCTCTTATTATTGGCAATAAAAGGCAAATGGCGACATTGCAGAGCTTACCAATACCACACCTGTACAATACCATTGCTGTTTAGGTACCATTGCCCAACTATCTGGGCCTTCTAACACCAGGAGAGGCTGAACCTGAGAGGCAGGTGTGTTGGGGGGGATATACTTGCAGAAACCAAAGTACTTATAAACTTAAATCAACAGGTGGCCTGGAGCATGACCAAGACAAAAGAACACTTTATTTGGGAAGGGGCTGTCTTTTATTGGGCTAGGAGATGGTCCTGTGGGTTCCAGAGGTGGAGTTAACTTGTTATGTGCTGACGTGAGATGGGCCAGGAGAGTGTATTTTCACTGAGAACGTTCTAAATTTATATTGCAATGTTCACCTTAAAATAATTTAATCATTATTGTGACAAATGTAGAGATTGGTCAATCAGCCACAAGGAACAGGGCAGATTACTCTACTACTACAACTACTTTGCCTAACTGCTTAACAACTATTAAGATAAGATATCAGCTACAGTAGGATTGCATTGATTTAATCTTTTTCTGCCACTGATTAATGTCATATGTCATCAGCAGCTGGGGAGGGGGCTTTACACACACTCTCAACAATTGTAATTGTAAATGTCACAAGCTGACTTTTGGCTTTCATTTGGAAGCTGCTGGTGGGCTTCCAAGAAACCCTGGAATCTGCACTTTACCCAAAGGCAACTTTCCCCATTGCCATATTTCTCTGGCTGCACTATGCCTCCTGCGGGCCCAGGAACCGCATGGCCGGTCTCAGAAGTTAAATCAATTTTAAATCCATTTAATGATCTCCCCTAGCTAGTAAGAACCCAAAAGCTCCATTAGCATCAGTAGAGTGCTGTTTCATTAAAGTGACTGTAAACCCTCACCTTGTAAAACAACCCATTCAGTTTACAACAAAAATGAAAGGCAAAACATATGTGTATAGATATAAAAACCATGATTAAAAACAATATAAACACCTTTTTTTCCAGGTTTTTATAAATCACATGCCCTCTGTTCTCAGCTGCAAAATAGTTAAGGGAGGGGAAACAGTAGTATAATGATCTTCCCGGTAAAAATCATAAATATCTCACCACTGGAGTTTCCAGGAGGTAGAGGAAACCATTTGGTGATCCAACTCTCCAGCATCTAACAAAAACTGTAATACATGTTTTGGGTGACCTGCAGTTGCGCTATTCTAACCAGGCATGTCCAAATTATTTAGAAAGAATAGTGGTTTGGTTGTTAGCATTCTGAATTCAGTCCTTTTTCTGAATCCTGACCAGGATACTATCTGCATGGAGTTTGCATGTTCTCCTTGTGTGAGTTTCCTTCAACGCTCTAAAGGCATGCAGGTAGGGTCATTGGCTCTTGTCTATATTGATCCTAGTGTGTGTGTGCATGTACTGTATGTGAGATGCGGACCTTACACTGTAAGCTCCTTGTGGGCAGGGATTGATGTGGATGTACAGTATTTTAAATTGTGCAAGAATTGTGTAAATTGTCGGTGCTAAATAAATGACTCTAGAACACTGTTAATATGCTAAACGCACTGCCTGCAGACTCCTGGGAGCCTTTTGTCCAGGTAGTAATAATTCTGAGACAAGGAACACAGTATTACAGAACTAGTGAGGGGCTGTATGTATTATCGCTTCTCAAGGTAGAGAGACTCCCAATATCCAAGCACAACTCCTCCTGTAGGTGCTAGCCCAGCTCGTGTGCAACATTGATGAGAACAAATGACGTCCGATCGGCTGCACTCCAAACAATCCACTTTATTGAACCAAGATAAAACCAATACAGACAGTGGAAATACAGTGGGGGACTGGCAGGTAGTGAGGGGCTGTAGTTAACTGCTGTCAGCCCGCCATTTGTTTACATGGGCTGAGTGGTCACTGCAGATCGCATAATCCAGTCATTCCAACAGCAAGAATCCGCATATTCCTGCCACAGGAATCTATCGGCTGCACCAATCCGGCTGTGTGAGAGGGGCTATAGTGTCACTTTAATTCATGATGTACTTGTATGTATGAAAGGACCAGAGAGTGGGCGGTGGTTCTCTTCTCTGTGTCCTCTAGATAGGGTTCATAATTAGCCTCACAAAAGAAACACCCTTTATAAGCAGATAGTGCTTAGTGAAGAACATACAGTATCTGTTTAATCAAATGCTACACAAGCAAGGATGACTAAGAATGGTTAAAACCAACAGCAGCCCATTGGAAACAAATTTCACATAACTACATCAAATGTTACATGGCTGATATGTATTAACTGCTGTTGGTTACAGCACTTCAATGGTCCATACCCTATACTTATAAAGCCAAGAGTGTCCCATAAAAACAGATAATTGACCTCCCAAAGCAAAGTAACCAAACCTTTCATACTTGCAATGTTAAAAAAAACATGGGCGTAGTCTACCTTGCTGTTTGCTCTATCCCTTTGTCCCCTTAGGTGGTCCCTCTTTATGTAATCCTTCTTTATTTGTCTTATTGTCTCTGACATTCCACTGGTTTAGACAGTACCATGTAATCATTTCTGTGTAAATGTTTTCTACTGACTACAGCATTCATATCAATCTTGTGTAGAGGACACTTAATCTCCTATATTGATTTCTGGTGATCTGCATATATTTGTGACCTGTTTTGCCCTTATTTGTGCTAAATAAAGGAATTACAAAAAAAAGCACATGAGCATACAGTGACTTAGTAGTTATCACTTTGGCTGTGCAACACTGGGGGCCTCCTGCCAAGGATAAGAAGTTTGCATGTTCCTACTATGCTTGTGTCTGTTTCCTTTGGATACTCCAGTTTGCTCCCATATTCCCTGGATGTGCTGGTAGGTATAATAAATAACCGTTTGCTCGCTAACCAAGACATCTCCAACTCCTCTATGATCACAACCTTTGCCATACAAGCCTTTGACAGGTTTTTTCCTACCCGTAAGAAGTTCTCTTTACCATCCTGATGTCCACCATGAGTGCCCAGGATTGGGTTTACCAAGGTATCAAATGCAACTGTCCACTTCCCGCGTGGAGTCAGGGGTATTCTCCTCCAGCGTACCTGCTTATTTGCAACCTCATCAAGTATAGGCGGTTCTTATCCTATTTTTCAAAACATCACATACATCTAACAACACTATCAACTCACTGCACCATAGGGGCTCTCCGAACTTTACTCCTATTCTCTCTTTTCCAGTGGATATCGCAGAGCTTTTACCTACAAAACTAATTTTGAGGACCACCACCCTACAGACATGATGCTGGTAGGTTAACATCCTAGGGACACAATGATGGTAGGTTAATTGGCTCCTGTCTGAATTGGCCCTAGTATGTGTATGTAAACGTATATACTGTATGCATGTGAGATAGGGACCTTAAATTGTAGGCTCCCTAAAGACAGGGACTGATGTGAATGTACGATATATAAAGTACTGCTAAATTGTTGGTACTATATGAATGCCTGTAATATTAATAAATAAAACAAGTACTGAAAACATTAAACAAGCTGGTAAAATATGAAAATAAAATGTGTCCCTCTTGTGTATTTATTATTTTAGCAAGGCCCGCACATCTCTTACCTGGCTGTCTGCCCAGGTATCTTTGTTTGCCCAGTCCTTGTGGGATCGGATATACCACCACTGGATCTCCAGTGAGTAGGGGATATCACCGCTGCCACGAAAGGAGCACGCCATCTCTACATCTTCTCCAGGGTGAGCGCTAACATCATGTGGTATTTCCGTGAACAATGCTGAAAAGGAAAAGCAAAATTATAAATATTTTTGTAAATTAATAGAACATAAGTAACAACCGTTCAATTTCCCAAAAGAAAATGATTCTTATTTTGACTCATTAGCAGGGTATAATGATCACACTACTGGCCAAAGACCAATCCATAAATATAACCTCTGTAGCTATCACTGCCAGTGTCCACATTGTAGTTTCATCCCCCCCTTCCCCCAGGTGATTTTTTTACATCCTTCTCAGCATGTTTTCAGGTGTGCAAAACCGCATGTTGCGCAACACCATCTGGTTCCTTGCAACTGCTCTGTGAGTGTATTTTTTAAATGAATGGGCTGCTGTGTCTGTGCAAATGCAGCATGCAGGACCTTCATTGATGTGAACCAAGCCTTAAAGCTGACATGGTAATCACATGATCAGGAAACCGCTCTTATTGGTTCCCAGTTGTCAGTGGGGACCCCAGCTATCACTAACAGCCAGGATTAAGAGCCAACAGCCTAGCAAAGTGTAGGCTCCTAATTCTTAAAGGGGAGAAAAACATATTAACATACTGTATCCTAGTGGGCAGAAAGTTGTTAACAGATCAAAAGGAAGCAAATAAGAGAAGTTCATTGTTAGGGTTTACTTATACTTTTAAAACCCTCATAGATTATAAGGGTACTGAAATAGGGTTCAAATATATACATTTACTATATGACAAAATAAGAAGCCCCCCTCAGCCCCCCCTTATACTTACCCGAGCCCCAACTCGATCCAGCGCCGTGCACGAGAGCAGTGGCACTTCTGGGTCTTCCTTTCCCCATTGGCTCACACAGCAGCCGGAGTCATTGGTTCCTGATGCTGTCAATCACAGCCAGTGAGCCAATGAGAAGAGAGCGGGGGCGGAGCTGAGCACTGCTCTGTGTGTGAATTGACACAAAGAGCGCGGCTTGGGAGTGAGCCTGCTTGAGTGGTCCCATAGCAAGAGCAGGCAGGGGACCAAAAAAGAAGAGGATCTGGGCTGCTCTGTGCAAAACCATTGCACAGAGCAGGTAAGTATAACATGTTTGTTATTATTTATTTTTTTAAACTCTTTCCGCTTTAACTAGAAAAGATACTCTGTTGCATCCATCAATCTCAAATAATGCAGAGCTAATTACAGATCTTCCTATTAGGGAATATTGGTGTATGAGCGATCATAATATGATAACGTTTTATCTAAACTATAAAAAAATAAGTATATACTGTAAAAATAAACACTTAATAGTAAAAGAGCCAACTACCCTGTGCCAAGGGGGCCTTTTAATATACAGACTAGGAGAGATTATTGTAAAAAGAACATAGACAAAGACATAAGTGAGTTTTTCCTCATCAACTTTATGAAAAAAACATTGCATCATTTATCTTATGTGTAATAAGAATACAATCCTAAAAATAAAACCCACTTCTACTGTTACAAAAGCAATAAATGAGAAGAAAAAAAGGCACTTAAATAAAATTGTGAGGAAACTCTTTCATCCTTCCGGAGTTACAAAGGGTACAATAAGAGCTGCAAAAAAAAAAAAGATCAGACTGGAAAAAATTCAAAACCAAAAAGGCAGGTTGCTAATGCGATTGAAGTGGCACTGCAGGAAAACAGTGAAATACACAGATGAATACCTACAGTATATGTTAATTGCCAGAGGATTTGTTCTGTCCTGCCAGTCCTGCGATTTATAACCACCTGCCACACTGAACAGCTATGCTCTGCTTATCCCTGGTTCAGCTTTACTGCTTCCTGAATCCCTCCCTGCTGATGATGCTGCTTCCTTGTCCAATAAGCAAGTAACCTTAAATTCTATGTTACCCCAACATTTCATATTCCTGATATGTGCCTGTTGTACCATGTACTTGTATGAAAAAGTATCCTGTTCTCTTTGCTTGGCTTTCTTTGTGTGAAATGCCTACTGATCCTGCCATTCTCTGCTTACCTCCTTCAAACTGACCACATCAGAGCATGGAAGCACGTCCCTTCCAACGTGGTCAGTTTTCTTCTTTGCATTCTACTTGGGAACACAGCCTGTCTGTAATGCAGTGGTCAGTTTTCTACTGACCCCCCCCCCCCCCCCCGGGCACAGCTCTCCACTGGGAGTATCAGTGTACTGCTGTTTCTCTGTCTCCTGCTGACACCCCCCCCCCTGCAGTCTCCACCCCCATCTCTCTATGTAACTAGAGCGGAGGTCATAGTGCAGCTGCACTATTTAAAAAAAATTATATTTATTATAGGTACTTATCTAGTGCTGTCATTTTACGCAGCGCTTTACATATATATTGTACAGTCACATCAGTCCTTAACCCTCAAGGGGCGTACAATCTAAGGTCCCTAACTCACATTCATACATACACATATTAGTGCCAATTCAGCTACCAGCATGTCTTTGGAGTGTGGGAGGAAACTGGAGTACCTGGAGGAAACCCACAGAGAAAACATGCAAACTCCAGGCAGGTAGGGCCATGGTTGGGATTCGAACCGACGACCCTAGTACTGCCAGGTGGAAGTGCTAATAATTTAGCCACTGTGCTGCCCATGTATACAAAGTATATACTGTATAAACAAACATTTTGCATTTCATGTCTATTTTCATCTGAATGAGTTGTTTTATATGGTAAGAGTTCACATATACTTTACATATGTGTGTCATCTGTCAGGCTATACATTGTGAAAGGTATGTAAATCATGAGACTGGCTGAAATGAATTAGAAGTCCTTTGGTAGGATAAACCATACACATAATTGTATTTCTTTTTTTTTTCCAATAAGCACATAATTGTATTTCAGCTGTGCATTTAGCTGCTTGGAGGTCCGCTTTAAGATGAATACAAAAAACTGTTTTTTTATATATGAATCACACAATACAAAGCCCCCCAAAAACATTGACAGATTTAGATATACATAAAAACAGCTTCAAGTTTATATGGCCCTGAATCCATTATATGAAATATACATGGGTAGATCACCTACACCAGATAGCTAATGTTAACATGACAGTAACTACAAACACATGACAGTAAACGTTTCTCCTGTACAAACTCTGTAAAAAGTGTAAATCCACCCAAAAGGTAATATTCAAGGATGAATGCCAGACACAAAAAATTTCATTCATATATATTTGTTAATAGCCGCAAAGAACATAAATCCACCAAATGTGGACCAAAAGTCTTTGTAAAACCACATATTACTTTGTAATAAGTAGCAGTGAGCTCACCACTGTGCTGTAAATAGCCGATGCAGAGAGCAGCACTGTGGGAGGGACTCAGTAGGCCCCACCCACTACAGGTTGTATGCAGAAAACTACAGGAGGGGGTGGAGACAGGACCCGTCATCCTGCATAAGGAGAGAGAGCAGCAGTGCCCGGTCTTTATCACATCAAGCTTGTACACAAAGGTAAAGTTTTACACTAGATTACTACACAGATCTGAAAGAAATACACAAAAGTAGACATGTGTGGTTTGTTGCGGATTACATTTTTGTTATTAGGAGATTCGGATGTATCCGAATTTCCAAATGACAACAGTAATGAATGTCAACATATCCGAAATAAATTATAATGAAACAAACGAAAGTTCATTTGTTTCATTCAGATGCTTGAAGCAGGAAGCTTCAAAGCAAGGAAACAAATGATCCGCATTATTTGATAATAGCTGGTTGTTAAGGAGCGGGCGGCCGGACGAGATTCCCGCTATCAGCAGAATGCAAACAAAACATATACTGGTTTACATAAAAAAAAAAAAACAGCGTGGGGGTCCCCCCCAATCCCTACCAGACCTTATCCAAGCATGCAGCCTGACAGGTCAACAAGGGGGGGGGGGACGAGCAAGCACCCCCCCCGAACCATACCAGACCACATGCCCTCAACAAGGGGGGGGGGGGGCTACCACCACCTAAAGCACCTTGTCTCCATGTTGACGGGGACAAGGGCCTCTTCCCCGCAACCCTGGGCAGTGGTTGTGGGGGTCTGCGGACGGGGGTCTTATCAGAATCTAAAAGTCTCCAAATCCCGCTCACCCCATGTGAATCAGTATGGGGTATGGGGTATATTCACCTAAAAAAAAGTGTCAAAGATAAATAAAAACACAAACATTTTTTTAAAAGTCCTTTATTAAAAAATCATAAAAACAACCCCCCCATGTCTCCGAATGAAATGCAGCATCAATCACAATGATTGCAAGCCGCTGACCCCCCTTAAAAAATTGAACACGCAACGTTTGCCTCCTGGTGACTGACACAGCTCTGGATCCCACCCACAGTAAATAAACAAAAGGATAGGGTCATCTGATGACAGGTGACCCCGCCCCTTTGTTTATTTACTGTGGAACCAGAGCTCTCAGTTGGTGGGGGGCAAACATTTACGTGCAACTTTTTTTAAATATTTTGTTTTTTCGTGTCTGCAGCCGGCGTTCATCGTGATTAACGCTGGATTTGCTTTGGGACACTGAAACAGTGTTTGAGTTTTTATTTTAAAAAAGTCTAAAAAAATGTTTTGGTGAATGAGTAGGGGTACTATGTATTTACTTCATATGGGGGGGGGAATCTGGGTTAAGGGGGATTCCAGATTCCAATAAGCTCCTCGTCCACAGAGCCCCCCTGCCTCAAAGCACCCCCACAGGTTAAAGGCATGTGTTCTGGTATGGTTCGGGGACCCCCCATTTCTTGGCCTGATGGTCTGCAGGCTTGGATAAGGGTCTGGTATGGATCTTGGGGGGGGACCCCACTCCATTTTTTTAAAGAAATTCTTAAATTGACATTTGTTTAGTTTACATTTTGCTGACAGAAGATGAGTCATGGTTGTTAAGAACGCAGCATCCACCCAGCTATTCTTCACAATGAATTCAGATAGATTTGATATTTTTGATTTGATTCAAATTCGAATACTTTTGAGTCCATTCGAAAAATTTGAATCTGCTTGAAAACATATAAATGGAATGAAACGAAACAAATGAAATTAATAACTTGACGAGTCAATTTGAACCAGAATGAAATAAATGTTTTCATT